AGAGTAAGAGACTTCTTACTTACACTTTCATAAGATGGGGTCTAACAATTATCAATTTGTTTCCGCATGTATTGCTAACCGATCCGTACAAGTTAATTGCATCAAATTGCAATTTTTGGATCATTTGCGAGTGATTTTTAAATTCTGGAGTTACCTGGTGTACTCTCYGGACGTTGAATATTCATTGTCCGATAAGAGGTCTCTCTTCGGACGTTGAATTTGTGTATAAAAATTGATTTCATCACTCAAAATCATATTTTGTATTAAGTGTTTGTTAATYGCTCAGTACTTGTGCATTTGACTTGTTTAATTTGTTAATCATCTAGTGCCTTGTTCGATAAGCATTGTTATCGATCAAAGAGGTGTCTGGAGACCCTCTTCATCGCTTGTTKCTAGTGATATCATTTTTCATCGTTCAACAGACTTGTCCGGATATCTTGTTCATCGATCMTAATTGTATCTTGATACCTTTGTTGTTATCGCTCATTAACTTGTCCGATTAACTCAAAAATTTGGTTGTCCGGATAGTACTTGTTTTCTTGTTGTCCGGTGAAGTATTTCTTTGTTGTCCGATAACAATCCCTTGATCAATAATATCCAATCTTGTCTGGATAGCATTCTTATTTCTTCTCCGGATAGCATTCYTATTTCTTGTTCCGGATAGCATTCTTATTTCTTGTTCGGATAGCATTTCACCCTTTGTTCGGATATCTCTTGATCATTTGTCCGATAAGAAATATTTGTTAAGTTTTTCAAAAGTCAAGAATATTATTTGTTGGGTTTTTCAAATCCAGTTCTAGTCAAATATTTTTCTGAAAAAGATCATGTCAAGTCTTAACAATGTCGAAAGATATGTTGAGTATAGGATCTGACTCTAAGCCTCCAGTTCTTGCTGTCGGAGAGTACTTGCAATGGAAAGTTCGAATGGTTCATTTCCTAACAATAAGGATGAGAAATTGATGGAATCTATAAAGAATGGACCTCACATCAGTTATATGGATCTTTGTTGGCATTTCACCCTTTGTTCGGATATTTCTTGATCATTTGTCTGATAAGAAATATTTGCTAAAGTTTTTCAAAAGTCAAGAATATTATTTTTTGAGTTTTTCAACTCCAGTTCTAGTCAAATATTTTTCTGAAAAAAGATCATTTCAAGTCTTAACAATGTCAAAAGATATGTTGAGTATTGGATCTGACTCTAAGCCTCCAGTTCTTGCTGTCGTAGAGTACTTGCAATGGAAAGTTCGAATGGTTCATTTCCTAACAATAAGGATGAGAAGCTGATGGAATCTATAAAGAATGGACCTCACAGTTATATGGATCTGCCTGAGCAAACTACCACTGATGGTATTGTTGTGTCTGCTTCCAAGATAAAGAAAGATCCATAGTACTACACTGAAACTGAGAAACAAATGGTCCTCATTGATAWGAAATCTTTGACTTATATGTTAATGGCCATTCCAAATGAACTTTTCAACAGAGTTGAYATCAGGGGCTCAGCTAAAGAATTATGGGATGAATTGGAAGGGCAAATGTTGGGAAGCAAAAAGTCAATTCAGACACAGATGAATCAGTGCATCAGTGCTTATGAAGGATTTAGAGCTTGTGAGAATGAAACCATCACTGAATCCTACAACAGATTCAATGTAATTCTGAATGACCAGAAGAGGAACGATATTCAAAAATCCATGTCTGAAATCAACTACAAGTTTTTGAAGAATTTGAGGACAGAGTGGAACTCTCTTGGAGTAAATCTGCAAATGAACAAGAATATGTCGGAAAAAGAGATTCATGATCTTTACAGCATTCTGTATGAACAAGAGRAAAATGTTAAAGAGTTGATGACTGAGAATAAAAAGGTGGCTGACTCCTTAGCTCTACTGTCAGGGAAGCAAGCAAAAGGTTAAATCTAAAGGAAAGAGCTCCAAGTCTTTGAAGACAGAGTTATCTGAACAGACTGAGAGTGAATCAACTGAAGATTCCTCTACTGACTCAGATGATGACATCAGGGAGTTCTCTAAGAAACTTGTTTTCCTGACTCAAAACTTTCAAAAGAGGTTCGGGAAGAAGAAGTTTGTGAAATTTGAGAAGAGCAAGGGAAAGGAGGTCAGTCCTGAAAGGTTTATAAAAGTCAGAGACCAGAAGGATGCTCAATCTGAAGTGAGCAGATGCTATAATTATGGAAAGTCTGGTCACTACATCAAAGATTGCCAATTCAAGAAGTTTAAGGATTCAAACTACTACCTCAAGAAGGAAAATCTGGCAAAAGCCCTT